CCAAACAGGATGGTGGTGAAAAACCAAGAGCTCCAGGCAGAATTTTAGACTCTATCAAATTATAAATTTACCACTAGAATCCTACTCATGTTTTATAATGTATGAAAAAAAATATTATGCAAAGATACTTCATAATTATCTCATAATTAGAATCAATATGTAATTTTATAATGTAAATCTAGAAGTTCAAAATAAAACCTTATTGATCAGGGCAGGGCCTTTATTGGGGTGGTGGTGAAAGGAGGGACAAAATTAAGATTGCCCCCTCTCAAAAAAATCGAAGTTCCAAACCTAGTTGACTATCTTACATGGCTATTTCGAAAATTGATATAATTATAAATACATATAGAGGTATAAATCGACTTAACTAATATCATGTTGTCTGTTCAGACGAATCTCCAGTTTTCAAAATATAGTCATGTTTCCGCAAATATTGCTCAAATTTGACATAAAACAATTTTTTTTACTATAATTTTTAATATGCCTTGTATATATATTATGTTTTGCATAATATATATATAATACACAAATGTAATATAATATAATGTATACAAATATATTTTGACAAGTTTGAACTCTGCGTTCAGCAAACTTTATGGCAATAAACAAATCAGTGCTCATATAAGTATAAGTATGGTTATGAGTTAAGTTTGAAAATATCTTGGTCATCTCTATAAAATTTGTTGGGGTGGTATATAGAGGTACATTGCCCTCTGGAACTTCTGCTTCTGAACACAATTGGTATAAATCCATATTTTAAAAAAAAATTTTTCATGTATTGATATTTACAACTGTGTAGATATGCAATAAGTAAATATGCTAAAACATGATAAAAACTTGTAAAGAAACTACTCACTTCAAAAATTAAATTAATTTAGAAGGTCCCTTGGCCATCTTCTTTTCAGATGTCTCGGAGGATTGTCAGGAATTGTTTTGGATGAACTAGAAGGTTAGGAGGAACAAGGAGTTTAGAATTAAAAGGGAGTATCCTTGTATGGCCAAGTCTTCAACAAAGGGAATGTTGAGGTCTTTATGAATAATTTTATTTGACATAATAAGAAGCGTTAAGGATTTACGGATGATATCGGGTTGTAAGGAATGGATAAGGGAGAATTTGATGGTTTTGTGGAGCCCCAAATCTCTATTCCATATGTCCAAATGGGCCTGATGATGGAAATGTATATGAGTTTTTTTAGAATATTGGAAGTTTAGAACATTTGTCAATTAAGTGATGTAGTAGTCGGAATCTGTTAGCAGTTCTTTGTCTTTTCAATCTAGTATGAGGATTCCAAGTAAGATGTCTGTCAAAAAGGAGTCCTAGGTAATGGATCTGTTCGACAGGGATAAGTGAAATATTGTTAAAGGATACTGTAGGACAGGATGTAGTGTAGTAGGTTTATGATGGAAGGGAAAAGTAATTTGTTGGGATTTGTTTGGATTAATTTCGATTCTCCAATTATGATACCATTCTTCGATGGCTGAATTGTGTGACTACAGTGATTGAGATGCAACAATTGGTTCATTATTGGATGAAAACATATACGTGTCATCAGCATAGGTGGTAAGGAAGTTGGAGCATGTGTTGGAATATCAGCTGTATAAACTGTCTAAAGAATGGGATCTAAGATGCTTCCTTGAGGTACATCAGAATTTTTAATATAAATTTTATTTACTCTCTTGGTAGTGCTGTCATTATGTCAGATTTTGATTGAAAGTTGACAAAAATTGCTGTATCAATTATTTCTGTGAATGATTCTGTCAAAGGTTTGGTGCAGTATTCAATTCTTTTAGGAAGAATAAAAAACATATAATTAATTGTTTAATAATTATTATATGTTCATATAATTTTTTATTTATAGCTGGGAAGTTTGCTGGAGGGAGTGCACTTAGTTAGTTAAATAAAATTTTTAAACTGTATCTTTGAAGATATTTTTATTTTTCTAAAAAAAAAAATATTTTCGTAGTGTTTTAAGATTTATTTTTTGTTCCAATCTCTCCTTATCATGTCGACCTTAACCTTGACTTGTACTTACACAGGCGTACACAAGGGAGAGAAAAAAAATAAAAATAAAATAAAACATAATATAATATAAAATATTTGCCAAAATTCCAAGAAAAATAATGTTTAAAATTTGTTGTTCTATGTATATGTAGTGAATCATCTAAAAATATTTATAATCTGTCATAACAATAAACTACTTACTATTAGTACAATAGTATTGAGTTTGAAATCATTTATTTACCAAATAATTTCCATTATTTAATCTTGCTCTTCCCTTAATATGAAAGCTGTGTATGACCTTGCAGCTACTCTAAATGCTGTCTGTCGCTTGAAAATTTAAATTAATAAAAAAAAAAAATGCTATGTAATTTGATTTATTCTTCAGCAAGAAATACGGTAAATAACAAAGTGACCTTCCTGGGTTAACTGGTGATGCGATGATGCAGTTTTCTGCTGTATGAGGAATGAGATTTCCTGGTTAAAAATATGATTTAATCATCACAATTTTGTTTATTTCCGTACTTTATAGAGAGCTGTAACTACTATAAGGTATTAAAATATCAATAAATGTAAACTATAAAAATATCAAGTTGGATAAATTTTTTGTATGTTGAATCAAAATGATTCCAGCTGTAGTTTATTAAACAAAGAGCTAAATTTTTTCTTATTCCCTATGTTGTCAGAGAGCAGCATTGATAAATCAATTTATTAAGCATATACACTGACAGGCAAAAAATTCCACCCACTTGATTTTTCCATGTTTTCATCTAAAAATATTTCTGTAAAGTTGTATTTGTATATCTTACATGGTATTTGTATATAATAAATGGTATTTGTAGATAATAATTAATATTTATGGAATTTTATAATCTTTGTTTGCCTTTAATAATCAAAATGTAATAGGGTAAGAAAGATTAGAGAAAAAAAAATTGAAAAACGAACCATTATTATTCTAAAAGAAATTAATTACATCATCGTTTAGTAGCGCGTTTTTCCTCCTCTTGCCTTCTCTACTTCTTGAAGATGCCTCAACATACTTCTCACCAGTCGGGAAATGTCCCTTTGCTTTAGGATAGGCTATTCCTTCCGAAGAGCCCTTTCAAGGTCCTGCAGTGTATCAGGAAGTATTGCACGTGGTCTTATTCGTCTTTCGAGGTTATCCCATAAATGCTCAATGGGGTTCAAATCTGGAAAACATGCTGGCCAGGCTAAAACCTCAATATTGTTCCGTTAAAGGAACGTCTGCACTATGCGGGTGACATGTGGGCGTGCATTAGAATAGAACGATCACCGATTTCGTTGAGGATAGGCAACACATGAGGTTCCAAAATCTCATCTACATAGCGAATGGCTGTCAAAGACCATCCACGAACAACAACCAATTTTGTGCGGCGCTCCATTGAAACCCAAGCCCATAACATTACGGAAAAATTAAGGTTGGCTCTGGGAAAAATTACAGGCTGCATATCTTTCGTTTCTTCTTCTCCATACCCTTTCACGCCCTTCTGGATATTGAAGAGCGAATCTTGACTCATCTGTAAAAAGTACAGCACTCCATTCGTCCATAGTCCAATGGCTGTGTTCTCGAGCAAAAGCCACCCATGTTACTCTGTGAGTTCTGGTCAACTCTGGTCCTCTTACTGGACGAAAAGCCATTAATCCATACTCATTTAATCTTCTCCGAGCGGTACGTTCAGAAATTTGCACATTTAAACTTCTTTGAGCTGATGAATCGCTTGAACAATGGTAAGGTGCCGGTTTCGTAAAATTCTCAAAGTTAAAAACCGGTCATCCCGTGGTTCTGTTACCCTAGGCCGTCCAGAACGGGGCGTTCTATTGTAAGAACCAGTTTCCCGAAAACGCCTGATGGCGTCTCGTAAAGTTTCATATGGAACTCCGATGGCATTAGCTGCATATCTAATGGAACGTCCATCATCAATAAGTGCCCCACCACGCGCAACATCCTCAGCACTAACAGACATTTTTAAACCTAATATTGAAAAAATTAAAAGCCGGAGACTAATAAATTTGCTGCAAGAAACGGCACTGAACTAATGATACTGTATAAACATTTTGATTCCATAGAAAGTAAACATTGGAATCTAGAATCATTTCATTGAATTAAGGATTAAGGGTTATTGTCCTATATATTAACATTCCTAATTGAAAACAAACAAAAAGGTTACCTATTTATTCATTAAAAACAATAGACCAATCCAAAGCAGAAATATTTTTAGATGAAAACATGAAAAAAACAAGTGGGTGGAATTTTTCGCCTGTCAGTGTATAAATATATTATATATTTGAAGCAATATCATAATTATTCTTGATTATTTTCACTTATTTATATAAACAATTTAAATTTAGTAGTAAAAATTTTTACTTTGCCACAAACAGCAATTTTTACTTTGATGTCAGAAGCAATTAATCACAACTCAGTTTTGAATATAAATAAGACATAGATTCTTTTACAATAATATTTTCAAAAACGAAATGGTTCTTTTGGGTTACTATATATTCAATATATATCAATTGATACAAGTAGAAATGAGATAAGCATAACGTACCTTTCTAATGTAACATAAAGAATATAGAGTTTTTTGAAGGGGAGAGAACTATCAGGATGACCTTAGAATTTTAGAGAAATATGACTTTTTGGACGAAAGTAATTAATCGATTATCTTTCTACCTAATGAATAATAAATTATTCATGATAGAAAGTAAATTTTAAATAACCGCATTTACTTTTTTTCTATAGTTATTTTGCAAGGGGTATTAAACCTTTTTCCACCTCTCATGGATAAACCATTTCTTTTGATAAATTATGAGCAGCCTTGTAGCAATAAAACCACATTGATGGCTCAAGGTTCCATCAGGTAAAAACTTATGATTATGGAATGTGTCTATCCCCAATTGTCTGTACCCCTGCTCTTCTGCAATGAATATCTACTTAAAACCTAATTTTAGAGTATTTTAGGGAATTATATAGAACATTTTTCAATTAAGATAAACATTTATTTGAATATCACAGAACTTATTAAATGAATATTAAAGAACCTCAATTGATATTGCTTCGACCAAGTATATGCGAACTGTGGTAAGTAAATGACTCATGAAAAATTATGGAAGGCAGATAACAGTGAATTATAGGCGTAGCATTCATCTACATAAAGAGATTACTTGTTTTCTTCTTTCCTTCAGAATTTCAGTCATCTCCTCCTGTCATAACTTCCATGAACTCTGCAACAAAATAATTTTCCTCTTATTTATGTTTGTAACTTATTTTCCTTCTACTACAAAATCTGTTAAATCAGTGCATAAAATTTAAATTGAACAAAATATCGCTTTTAATCAATTTACTATAATTTGTATTGCTTTTTCACAGAGGCAATGCAAGCATGGATTTGATTAACAGAGGTCTGCTATCTAATGGGAGACAGGGAGTACTAAAGCCCTGGTTTCGGGGATTTCAGGTTCAAATATAAATATTATAGAATAATTTAGTAGTTCTTTGATAATAAATTAATATTGGTTTGTACTGAATGCGATACAACTGAAATTGAGGATTTGATAAATTATATTTGTCTTCCAATCATACCTTCTCTATAAGCTAAGTACCAGAAACTGATCCATTAAAACTAATCTTTTTTAGTGATATCAAACAAAAGATTATCTGATTATTTCAATATTTTATTTAAAAAATCATTATTACTTAAAACAATTCAACTTCATACACTTGTTCCATTATTCAAGGGGATTTCAAAGAATTATTTGAGAGTAAGCAGACCTGAGTGTAATTTGTAACCAATATTTCGTGTATTCTATTATAGTTAACTCTTAGTATACCATTATCAAATCAAATTATTTCTCTTTTATTAATTTGATCAATAAAGTTGCCAAGAACATTAAAAAGAGTTTATCATAATTTAAAGTGTAAAACAATGCAAGCGAATGAGTCATTTTCTGTACTCAATTATGCAACAATGCTATGATAACTTTTGATCTCAAGATGGGTGTAAAAAACATAAAACTTTTATTATAGTTATCAGTTTTTGAATTTATGGGAGATAACTTACCCTCAAAATCAACTGTTCCAGAGCCATCAGCATCAATCTCATCAATCATTTGATCGAGTTCATCTTCAGGAATGGTATCATCTAGTTCAGCTAAGATTTCTCGCATTACCTCGGTGGTGATATACCCATTACCTGGCCAAAAATCACAAATTTATCAACATAAATTTTAAATGTTTAACTTTCAAATTGAGTTTGTTAATGTACGGTATTGAAGATTTTGATATGAAAACATTGTGTTTCCATATTTAAATGAACTCTCTCAATTTTAGTAATGAAAAAAATTATTTACCCTCCTTATCATAATGTCTGAATGCTTCTCTAAGTTCTTGTTGCATTTGTTCTGGGTTTTCTTCTTCAGCCATGTACCGAGAAGAAAGTTCAGAAAAGGAATCAAAGTCTATTTCTCCGGTATCTAAGAATAACAATCATATGAAGAAAAACTAAGTCTTAGTTTTTATTGTATTTTTAAAATTGTTAAATTTTTACAAATATCGAGGTAAAATTTTGATTAGCATGCTGTAAAAGCCTATTAGAACAATTCCTCATGAAAATACTGTTTAGAGCAATTTAATTTTTAAAACATTTCATCTTTGTTTATAAGAATAAAATAATAATGAAATAGAAAATCTAATTCATAAAAAAAAAAATGTCTTCTGATTATTTTTTTTGTTTTTAAACATATAAGCTTTTGCATGTGGCCTTTGATATAATAGAATTAGACTATAGATACTATCCATTCCCTATATCAGAATTCAACAAAGTGCACCATGCTCAATAACATAAACATAGATACACACATAACGTTTTTGTAAATTTAAAAATCATTTTTCATTATGTACTGCGAACATAGAGGAATTTCTAAGTGACTTTAGTCTAAAACTTAATATTTTTGTTCCTAATTCTGCTAAACTTATAGATAGAGTTCAAAGGTTTCTAGGAGAGTCAGAAAAACAAATGGTGGCACAATTAAATATTTTGTAACCCCATGGTTGTATTATAACTAGAACAATGTAATGGTTTAATTAGCCTCTTTTGAAATTTTGAGGACAATCAATCAACATACTTTATTCATTCACTTAATAAATTTAAAACAGATTTATGTTCCCAATTCAATAATACAAATCTAACTCCTTTGAACCTAAGTTTTTATCATAAATTTAAATAATTTAATTTATGTAATTTGATATAATTAATAATTTTGCTAAAGTAGTAAAATATAGTGTGTAACATCAAATTACTTGTTATAACATAAATTTTGGATGGACGGCATAGATGGTATGATTATTATACACAGTGTCAGATTATTTTGAACTGCAGAAATGAGTTATTGAAACAATTTTCAATTTAATTGTATCAATCTTAAGTTTGAAAATATTAAGTGACTGTCTTGGTATCATCATGAGTAAAAAAAATTATTAGATAAAGAATGGTATCTAAAAATAGAAAAAATTGCACATGTGACTTTAATTTTCCTTTGACCTATTGACTTAATTGCATTAGAAATTCCTTTACCTTAATAACGATCACCAAACTTTTATAATTTACTATTTTACTATATATGTAAGAGTTTATTCACTATTCACAAAAAGTTATCAATCTGCTCATTATTAGATGGACTTACTTCATACTATATACCATCGAATACAATAGATAAATTGAATCTTATTTATGATATTAGTAAATGAATGATAATTGAAAATTGTTTTTTTAGAAAAATAGTACCAAAGAATAGAAAACATTTTTATCATCCTAGAATACTTTGTAATAATTTTGATTAGGAATTATATTTTTAAAAATTGAGTAAAACATCAGATAAACTACTTACGCCATGGATCAAATTCGGTAATTAGTGTATTTATAGTTTCTTGAGTTTGACGAATTCCCATCATTTCAAGAATTGTACTCAGTTCATTGGTCGGTATTGTGTTTTTTCCTTCTATCTCAAAAGCTCCAAAGGCTTTTTTCAATACTAACATTAAAATGAAAAATCGTTACTAAATATTATAATAGAATAATATAAATAAATAATACAATAGATTATTTATTAAATTTAAAAAAAAATGGAAATTTGACTTACAGTTCATTTGACTTTTTGATAAAATCACCACCGCCTAAAAAATAATAACAAGTATTAATAATATCCATAGTAAAATATTTAAAAAATAAAAAATATTTAATTCCTTACCATTTTTAAGCTGTGGATTAAATTAGGAGGAGTTGTTCTTAAAGGTTGGCTTGAATGAAAAGTGATTATCCCCCTCCATGTCAAATGTCAATACAACTATTTATAAACGTATTTGAAGCAATAGTAATCTAGTGTTCTAATTTTGAGTTTAATTATAAACACTGACTTGAAACAATCAACCTTTTAATACCTCTCCCAAGTAGAACATAATTTTAACCACTCAACATGCTATGCATTGAACTTTTGTTAATCCCAAAGTCAAAACATTTGCTGTACGCCAAATAAAATTTCTATATATTGGACACACATTTTAATACAAAAACATTATTTTCCTTATCTTAAACTAAGAAAAATCATTATGCATTTCTGATTAAGTTCCTACATACTATTAATGTACATTTAAGTACATGTCTTCAACTAATTATAAATTTTACATTTTAATAAAAAGTTATTAAACGAATAATTCTTTACTTCAAAATTAAAATTTTACATAAAAACTTGTATTCTTGACAACTCTATAAATCCCAGAGCATTTAACTTAAAACTAAAAGTGGAAAAACACTAAAAATATCGTGCACACTGAAATATTGTTAATTTCCCTTAAATTTATTAATGTATACCGTGTTTGCAAAAAAAAAAAAGAAGACTCTTTTGTTCAAAAAATTATACTTTCTTTCATGCTAGTTTTGTTTTGGTTTTTTTTTTAGTTATCATTCTTCTTGGTCTTCCACATTTTATGTATATTATTATTTTATGTATTAGATATTAATATTAACTCACCGGGTGTATAATATATATATAGTATAATAAAAACTGGCCTGTATAATCAAAACTTTAAGCAAGTGAAAAGGCTTGGCACAGCTTACAGTAAAATAATTGGATGTCCATTAAAAATTTTGCGTAGTAAACTTGGTTCCAAGATCAAGGGCATAAGCAGATTTCATATTAATGGGGAGCAAGACAGAAAATCATTTCTGGAAAAGTTTATTATTATTACAGTTTATAAATATTATTATATGAAATCCAATATATACATAGAACAATAACTTAAAAAAATTAAATCGAATTTTTGGCCAACCTTTTGTATTATGTCATGTCTTATTTTCTTTCAAATTATATAGGGGGCGAGGGCAACGGCCTCTCTACTTTATACTTTCTAAATCTAATTCAATAAATGTTTTATCTGATCCAATGAGAATTTTTCGAACCATTTTGGTAGTTTCTGTGATTATAACATGTGATTAATATTTTGAATGCAATACTTTGTTTGTTAGTAAGATCCAAGTCTTGGGCATCGATGGAGCAATTTTAAAGATAATTGGAATGATATGTTCCCCTCATTCTTCTAATAATTTAGTTGTAAGATGTTTTACTGATGTTATATATTCTTTTCTGAACTGTGATTAACACGAACCCATAAGTGTTACCAGGATTTAAATCTGGACTCAGGAGAGGAGTTTCATATTCATTCCAGTTTGAGAGCTTAGAACTAAGATTATTATTCTGGTAAAATTTGAATGTTCATTCTATATCTATTTTTGTCATACTAGTCTGAACAGTCTTCAGAAAGAACATAAGAAATAAATGAGAAAAATTAGGAAAACATGATGAACTAGATACAATCTGGAAAGTATTAAAAGAATGTGGATTTAAATTCAGAATAAATAGAATAAGACTTCTCATAAATTTGATGGATAAAAAAATATATTGGATTTTACTAACAAGTCAATGAAGAAAACTTCAGGTTATTGGAATGATGTAATGTAAAATATTTGGATAGGAACAAATTTATTATTGACAATTGGGAGGAAAGTTGGTAAATGTTTTAAGATAATAATTTTATCTTCCATAAAACGGGCTGAAGCCTCCCTCCCCTGAAATGGTAAAATATAACCATGTTTTATGGAAAAAATTATTTCTTAAAGTATTATTGTTCGTGTAATTACATTTAAAAGGACTTTAGGAATCACTTAAACACCATTTCATATAGGTAGTTAGTTTCTCTCTTTGTTTCCTAAGTAATTATCGTTATTTTTATGAAAAAAAAAGCTTTGGGGCTGAAGTACCCCCCTCTCCCCAAAAAATTATATCCTGGATTCGCTAGTATTCCATAATGAAAGGTTGGGGGAATAGTTTCCTTGTGAGGGTATTATTCCGATAGCCCATGCAAAAAAGTTGAGATTATCTGAAGAAAATTTTGAATGCATTTTTTGGAATATTCATAACATTGGTATTAAAAAACGAGGGTCTGACACTCAGATTACGCTACCAACATACGAAAAAAATGGTGACTGATTTAAAGTAAATTAGGTTAGTAACTTGAGAAACGAAACGGAAAATTTATTGCAAAAAATGTTGGAAAAGTTTTTTTTTAACTTGCATATGCACACATTTAAAAATGTGAAAAAAACGCTAAACCCGATCCCAAAAGAAAAAATGTTTACAGCCAAAAAGGCAGATTTTTCCTATCTTTTTTCGTTTTTTCATCTGTAACTTCTTAGTCCATCGAATGGAAAAACGTACTCTTTAAAAAGAACATGAAATCCTGCGTCGAATGAATACTTAAACTTAATTCAGTTTAAACTTAAGTCCATAATTTAGTATGGTCGGTAACATTAAAAAAAAACTGAGACAAATTATTACAAATTGCTCTGTAGCTTGGAAATGAGTTTTCTAAGAGAAAAAAAAAATCATTGAATTAAAGTTCCGCGTTCACCCAGTACTAACAGTTCTAATGTTGGTTATTTACTCCGCTAGAAATCGATAATCTCCCAAAGGTTGGAAATAGGTAATGAAGGTATTAGCAATTTTAAATATTTCAACAATATTGGTATGAATTCAACTCAGTTATTGTTTTTTAAAGTCTACTAAATACAGTAAAGGACTAGTTTCATCCTCTCAGCAGCGGACGATTTTGAGAAACGAGGTGTCAAAAGAAACAGAATTTCATGTTGAAATAATGAATCCATCTTCGAAAGATATAATTGACCTACATTAAAAACTGTTGGTACTCAGTGGACGCGGAATGTGACGCTCAATAACTTTTTTTATTCTATGAGTTCGTTCTCTTAGGAAACTAATTTCCAAGATACTCGACCGATAATACAAATTTGTCTCAATTTTTAACAAATTTGGTAAAAAAAATCATTCGTTGACCACGGTTATCTACCTTACGACTTAACTAAGTTATTAAGTTTAGATATTCGTTAAACGCATAACTTAACGGTTTTTTTTATTTCTTATAGAGTACGCTTTTCGCTTCGATGCACAGTTTAGGGGCTGTAGGCCATAAAATAAAAATACCGAAATAAATCTGGCTTTTTTGGCTGTAAAAAGTTTTCCCTTGGTGGCCAGCATTGGTAATTTTATTCTTTTTCCACATATTTTTTGCAATAAATTTCTCTTTTCGATCCTCAAGTTACTAGCCTAATATTCTTTAGATCAGCCGCCATTTTTTTCAGGTAGCATGTTCCATCTGTCTGACTCATTTTTTAATTTAAATGTTTTAAATGTCAATTTTTTTGCATACACTCTCGGAATCTGTATGTGGAGTCGTAATTTGGGTTTTTATCGATAGAGTGATCGTGAAGTAAATGAACCGCACATTTTGAAAAATGGGTTAAAATTGAACATGGAGTTAGCAGTTAAATTCAAAATAGAATATAAACATTACCCTCTGCCCTCCGCTCCCCTCCCCCCCCCCCCCGAAGAAAAATCCTGCGCTACGTACCTGATAAAAATTTACCAATGACTCATTACGTTATTTTTATTTTTTAGAAACAACATAGAGTGCGTGTTTTGTGAGTGAAATATATCATCACCATCATCTGAAATTTTCTGATCCTTAATATTTGTTTGACAAAACCATTTCTGCTGCTTCTATTCTGCATTTTAGAGAAAACATCTATTAGCACGTTTTATAGAGTTGAATTGTTTATTTTAAATACACTTTTAGCTAAAATCATTCGTTACATCCCATAACTACGTGAGTTTGTGCTCAAACGACTCTTATTGTTCTCATATACTTTCCAAGTTATCTCAGATTTAAAAATATATCAGTAAGAAGAGTATATTATTCAGAGATAAAATAAAAGCACCTCTGACCACATAGAGTGGTCCAATAAGAAATACTCTTGCCATGTCACTTATCACAGCGTATTTCGTCTTCTTATGTCTATACTTGGACAATGCTTATGCAGGTAATCCATGTCTAATTTTAATTTATGTAAAATCAGTCAGCTCCAGTGTTTATATTAGGTTTTTTCTCCCAATATACTGTTAACAGCTTTTTGATGTATCTTTGTTTTAGGCCTCAGCATTGTCTCTCATTGCAGAAAAATATTTTAGGATTATTCTTTCAATAAAGACACAAGGTTTAAGTAAAATAATTAAATCTGATTAAATTTTCAGGTAAAAAACACTACGACAGGGAATCCCGATATATGCCACCAAATACATCAAACTATTGCTACTATCCAGAAAGGAAGATTTATGATTGGGAACTTACACCGATAGAATATTGTAAAAGACCTTGCGATGGAAAACCTAAGCTATGCCACATAACTTTGTACATCGAGCAATTTACTACTTATGGAGTGTAAGTGACGATTCATAAAAAAATTAATAATAATAAAAAACCATTGACATTCCAACGAGAGAAAGGATTAATTCCAATACACGTAACCTTTATGAAAATGGTTGTTTAAGGTAATTAAGGTGTAAGTAATTTTTTACGACAATAAGGCTCAAGATTCATTTTATTTTATAATGAAATTTACGTCTGTGAAAAAGGTTATGACACGCAAAAAAAGTTACTTTATCCAAAGACTACGGAATCGCTATTTGTTGGTTCTCAAGTTCTGGGTGAGCTGAGAAGGGAAATAGACTTTCGGACTGAAGCCCTCGTCCAAAATGGAGGGAAAATAATTTTTTATTTCATTGATCAATATTTTTTCTGTAACTGATTTATGCTAAATCCTTAAGCAATCACAATATGTTCTCTTTTTAAATTATAACGCATATACAGCTACTAAATGTAAGTAATTGTCAAGAAAAAAAGTCTGCTAAGTAAGGTCAGTATAGCTTCCTCACCGTTTTCATTGGCTAAACAATATCTATATTACAAGGTCTAACATATTTTCTGTGAGAATAAAATCTCTAGAAGAAGTTTTCGGAAATTTAGTAATCCCTCAATAGATAAGAGTTTGATATTCAAGAGTTTTGTTCATTGAATACTAAAATGTGAAAGAGTTCTGCATTTGCAGATTGCATATTTGATGATTCGTAATTTTAAAAAAAATCCAGTGCATACTGAACATTAATATCACTACTGTTAGTGCAAAAGACCGATGTAAAAATTTAATGTTTTACAGAAGAGCATAATAACTAATTGTTTCTTTATGATTTATTAGTATAATTTTATATTTTATTGCTCTCTGTTATTTTCCATCGTAGCAGATTGCTTATATCAGTTGCAAATTGCTTATATGAGTTGCAGACTACAAAATGTCACCTTTAGCAGAAATAGATTAAAAGTTGAAAATATTTACATACGACCTTTTACAGTAAAAGTAGTGATATATACTTAATAGGACAAATTCAACTTTTTGTTTGTTCGGAATTAATTCTAATATAAAAATATGTGTGAAGTTCACACAACTTTGATATTTAAGGATGAAACCGGGAACACGACGAGCTAGTTGAACTACATAGAAATAAACACAATCAAAAATATGTTGTTTTTTTTTTTTGTCTACAAACTGAGTAAAAATTAATTGAAATTTAAAGAAAATTACACGAAATCTAATTACGAATCTAATTACGACAGCAAGTGTCATAACAGTAATGTTTGGAATCGACCAAACAATACATTATAAATTAACTTTTTAAATTAAACCTAAAATATAATTCTATAACCTCATAAAAATATTGTGTTAACTCCTACTCCAGATTATCAATGCCTTCCACATTTCACAGCCAATATATTGTTAACAATTATTTACATTAATTTTAATTATTGAATGGAATTCAATGAAGTTGATACCAGGTAATTTCTGTACTATTCTCCAAATTTCCTCCAACTTTGAGTCAAATCGAACGCGAAGTTTTCAAACTATAGGCGTGTCAAATAATAAATTTCCTGATCTGAAAGCGGATTTTTTTTTTTTTACCAATCCCTAACTTCCCTCCAAATTTGAGCCAAATCGATCTAGGATTTATTATCCTAAATCGATTAGAAGATATAGATGAATCATAGAAAACACGTTTGCGCATATATAAGAGAAAGAAGTAAACAAAATTCAATAAAATTAACACTACATTATTTTTTCATCGATATATCTACCTTTGCGAATCCAGCCCATCTTAATCTTCCTGCCTTGATAATTGCTACTACATCAGGCTCATTATAGATGGTGCAGATTTTTCTATTTCTATACCTTCTCTATCATCTGCTCCCAAAGGGTGGCCCATGAATTTGGCAAAAGAATTTTTCTTGCAAACGTAAGCAGGTATCTTCCATCTGCCTTTGCAGTGGTCAAGGTCTCAGAAGCATAAATCAAAACAGGATGAATGAGGGTTTTGTAGAAGATGACCTTGTGTGTTGCGAGACAAGTCTGCTGGATAGGTGTGTGCGGAGTCCATAATTACAGCAATTTATTGAGATCATTCTTCTCTGCGTTGAGATTTTATTGCTGCATGCAACTTGATCTGCCAACTATGTCCACATCATCAGCATATGCTAGAAGCTGAAATGTTATGTTGAATACTGTGCCTGTTGTCCAAATTCCTGAATCTCTGGCAGTTTTTTCAAGATGGAAATTAAAGAGGAGGCATGCCAAAGCATCTCCTTGCCTCAATTCTCTTACTGTTTTATTTGAAACCCCCTGATTGCTTTCTTTGGACTTGAACACAGCATTCGATGACCGTCATGCTCATCCTTACCAGACGCACAAGTTTAGGAGATATATCAAGTTCTATGAGGGCATTGTATAGTTTATTCCGATCAATGCTATCAGATGTAGACCTAAAAATGACAAACAGATGATGAGTCTTGAGTCTATCCCTACCTTTTTCCAAAACTCCGTGAAGACTAAAAATTTGGTCTGTTATTGACTTTCCACACATAAATCCCCATTGGTACTATCTGATTTCTCACTTGGCATATGGAAGGAGGCGCTGGAAAAATATATTTGATAGTACTTTGTAAGCACATGAAATGAAGAAATTACAAATTATTTACATTAATAAAATATACATCTCATTTATACAATTAATAAATGGTAAAAAAAAAAAAGAATGAGTTGTCCAACTAGTTCCTCCCACTTGTACCAGTACCAGTATATAAAGCATGATCTTGCCAGTCAATGAGTCTTTCATGTTCAAAGTATGATCATGTTAATATTATTATCAAATCATTTCATAGGTGGGTAATCAGCATTAATAACATAACCAGAATTTCATTTATTATTAAGTGGTACCACTTAAAAAAATTATACTTATGCTATAATCTTTTAAAAACCTTTTAGGATAGTACCTAAATGTGTTTTCATTGATTCAGGGCTTGTCTAGGATGTCCTGAAATCATGGAAAACTGTTTCAAATATGGATGCATATCAGCCAATGGCTATCCAAGAGCTATTATCTCTATTAATCGACAAATGCCAGGACCACAGATCGAAGTAAACCTAATAGCTGTTTTTAATATTAAATTAATTGTTAGAATATCTCTTACAAGTTTATAAGGGCTCAAAGCTTGTATATTTATTAATAATAGTCATTTTTTAAGATATCTTTCCAATTATTTTTTTCATTTTTAGATATGTCAGAATGACACCTTGGTGGTTGATGTTGTGAATATAATGCATGAAAGTACAACAACTATACATTGGCATGGTCTTAGACAAATGGATGGGAACCAATATTATGATGGTGTGCCTTATATTACGCAATGTCCAATACCACCAGGGAATAAATTCAGGTATATATTTAAGGTCACTGAGTGCGGAACATTTTGGTATCATTCCCATACAGGTAAACATTTACATCAACTAAAAATTATTGTTTAGTGTTTCTCTCTTAATGCAATTTGTGGATTATCTCTTTTTCAATCATTTCTTTTGTTTATTGTGTCATTTTATTTCTTTATTATTATTATTTTGTTTAAGGTATGCAAAGGCTGGATGGTTTGTTAGGAGCTTTAATTGTAAGGTGCATTTTCGAACCTTTGAAATATTTGTATGATTTTGATAATATTTCAATATTGATCATTGATTGGACTCTTCATCCTGCTAGAACTCTAGTGTCTGGATTCACAATACATAAGCAAAATCTTTCACCAGAAACAATTTTGATTAATGGGAGAGCACCTCATTATAATGTATGAGCATTTTTATCTTTCTAGTATGGCAAATTTTCATTTTTTATTTTATTTTTTAAATATATCAGTGAATGTTGCCTTTAAAAAAACAATATATAATATATAGGGAAAGTTGTAGAAGGTAACAGAAAGTGACAAAAAATATATAAATAATAATTTCTATAAACTAACATTATTAACGTAATTCACATGTTTTCAAGGAAATTAAATTAAATCTTCATACTAAATGTAAAGTTTTAGAAAATTAAATTAGTGAATAATTTGATGATTTTCCCTTTACGATATCCCAACAGTGTCCACTTACAATTAGTGGGACAACTTTTGACCTGACTATGACAGACAAGGCAAATCTCTTAATTCTGTGGAAGTAAACTTTGCAATGTAAAATAACATTTTAATAACTAATAGTCGTACAATCCATAATCAATAGATCATACAGTGCATAATCGAAAAATCCTACAATCCATAATCAATGGGTGATATAATAAATAGGACTTTAGTTATTTCAATAGTATTTTAGAATTTTTAGCTGTAATCTTTTAGCTTTAACTCGGTTACAAATATAATTCAAAAATTTTATAATACCCCAACATGGCCATAAAATAATTTCTATTAAAAGTTTAACGGTAAGTAAAAATTGTGTATTGCACGCACCAGATTTTTTTTTGTAGTAATTTATCTTTTTTCTTCATATTCCTGGTAGTATATATTTACTTTTTTTTTTACATTCCAGTGTTATAAATTTTATATTTCTTTATATATAGCTTATAATATATAGAATATGCCAACAATTATTGTTCTAATTAATAAGCAAAATTTGAAATTATGATGATATGAATATTTTCAGGAATCCTCTCAAAAGTACTTGCCAGTTACAGTTTTTAATGTACAACATGGTAAAAGATATCGAATCAGAATAATTGGAACTTGCAGCTATACATGTGCTTATGCAATTCAGATTGAAAGTCATCCTGTGACTATTATAACTCTTGATGGAGGGCATAAGATCAAACCAATCGGCTGTGACACAGTTATTGTTAATGCAGGTAAAACTCATTGAACAAATAAAAAAACAATTACCATAAGTTTATTTGTTCAAAGCAATAATGATGAAAGTACTGAAAATGTTGTATTATTACTAGGCAATAGTCTAGCTGTGATGCTGAAATCCAAACTAGATTTTTAATAGATAAAATCAAACTCATTCATATTTTTATTGGGATGATTCTCAAAAAAAATATGATAAATTGTATTAATATTTAATATTCCTTCAAACGGATGATTTTTTTTTTTTATAACATTCTTCTCATCCATACCCTGTGGCCTGGAGATCCTCTAGAGACATACCCAGCATCTATAAAGTGAGTTCCTTTTATTAAATAATTAAATAATTAAATAAAGGGAGAAACCTAGCGGTTGAGCATGATCTCAGCCCGATCCCATCCCTGCACAACCCTTGGCCTTGTAACAGTACTTGCTCACATTGTACTGAACCCGAGACCCTTCATGGGTTTTTTTTTTTTTTTTGGAACTGAATTAAAAGCCATTGCCCCTCATTCTGAAATGATAATGCGAACTCCTAGCTGTAGTTGGAAAATCATGAAAAATGGAATCAATTGTTAGTATTTATGCACTGAAAAATAAGTTTGAAAGAATGTTTACAAAAATAACGAAGAGTAGTAAAGAAGAAATACACTTTCTCAAACGGGACTGTGTTGCAACTTCGCTTGCACAACTTCACTCTGCCTTCACTTCAGTCAGGGATACCTCTTCTTACGTATCTTCTTGGGATCTTAACACTCCGTTGAGTAAATTCATCAAACATGGATCATATATATAAAATACTATTACATAATCAGTCCAATCAGATCCTCGTATGATTATACATCTATATGTAATCTAATAAGGAATTATTAGAATTGATATATCAATAATAATTTTACAAACACTTACCAAAATTATTAAAATTCAGGTTGTCCTGAGCGATCGCTAAGTGTACACCCAGTACCAAGAGGAACGCTGGTGATAACGCTTGCATTTTTATCTGAAATAAATTTTTTCATTCAAAATTATGATAATTATAATGTGGATGCTATCAAGTATTTATGTTCATAAATTAGGATACCTTGTTTATTATCAATTATAATCATAAGAGTTAGCTATGAATAATTCACAGAGTGCCATTGTAAGGAGAAATATCGAATCAAATCATGTGACAACATCGAACATGATGGAGTTTTTTTTTAACACAAATTATAAATCCCCTTTTCTGTATTTTTAATATATAATTAACAGTTAACTGCAAATTCGTACAAACTGATATGCGTTGCAATATGAAAGCATTCAGTTTCACTATCAAAAAAGAAAGTTTTTAGAGTATTATTAAAGAATTAATTGAATAAATTCGATCCGAAAAATTTAATATTTAATAGATAAAGTATGTAAACAAGTATATAACGGAGTAAGGTGTTAGGTATAGCTAAAGTATGTCAACACGTTTAATATCTCTTGCTTCCATTTAAATAATTTTAATATTCCGTCACTAACTGAGTTGATAACGGTTCTATTGTAAGTGACAGTCGACTTCGGACCATTTCATTTAAAATGGATATAGAAGTGTTTGATTTCTAAGGCATTGATTTACATATTTATTGAAATATATAACTAACACCGACTAAATATAAAACACCGAATATTTCCTTTTATTTATTTTACTTATTTTTTTTCCATTACACCACAAGTATCCTAAGATTTTATTTGATCTTAGTTTCTGCATATTATTATATAAACCACTGTAGATATTATTACATTTTGTATTAAGTTAGTTTTCTATTAGATAGCCTATTGTTTATAAATTGTGTAGTTATGTATATATAAATATGTAATTTCTCTTTTTGTTTTTCATCACAATTAAGTAATTTTAAGAAGATTTTATGTTCATTTGTATATATATTTTATTTTCGATTTTTTACTGGTTACATACTTTTTAAATAATGTATATAATATTAAAATTTTTATAAGTTAGTTTTTGGCCAGATTTGTACTTTAATTTGTATTAACTCATCATTGTTATTCTAAAGGGACTTAGTCCCAGAATAAAGTTTAATTTTCTATTCTATTCTATTTTCTATTCTAAATACATTACAAATCTATTTTTTATGAGTAGTTTTTATATAGACTTTTTTAAAAATTGCATAATGAGCTGAATTATACAATATTACATTAATGCGCGTAGATTTACAACCGATGAATTTACTATAGACTACTAAATGAATTTTCGATAGCTCATTTCGAAACTTATATTTTATGCATATGATTTGAAATATTTAAAATTTTGAAAACGAGTACAATAAAATTTTAATATTGTTTCGGTCACGTTACATATACAAACAAAGTATATACAATAAATATTTAAATGAGCGATCAAACATCCCTTTAACGACATAGGTTGTAAATCTACGAACATTTTAGTGATAAAAAATTTTATTAAATTCTACAGTTTCCTGAACATGAAGCTTTTGAAAATCTTATTTACTAATTGTTTTTATGTGATTTAGATTAAGGAATGACCGTATTAACCCATTGCTGTCTAGTATCATATGTCATATATCATTTAGTATCATATTCTAATTTTCCTTATATCCTACTTATGTAAATATATTATTAGAGTGCTACCAACGGGTAGTTTCTCTACAAGCGTTTTCATGTGATTGTATTATTACTGTGTGCACATTTACTAGTTGTATTTTTTTATAATACAGTTGTAAATATCAATGAATAAAAAAAAAATATATATATATATATATATTCTAATTTTACAATGCTATATATATATATATATATATATATATATATATATATATATATATATATATATATATATATATACAATACAAAATTTAAAGAATTAATTTTCTATGGTAATCGTTTTTTTAAAATAAGCATATATATATATATATATATATATATGCTTATTTTAAAAAAACGATTACCATAGAAAATTAATTCTTTAAATTTTGTATTTTAGGATCTAAGAAAATGTTTTTGGTGTATTAGAGTCCATCATCATTTGATAATTGACTCCATTTATACCACCAAAAAGTTTCGAAATTTTTATAAATAATCAATTTAAATTCGTTCCGATTTAGTGTACGTTATATATTCTTTTGAAGAATTGACAAGTTAATAGAAAAACTTAGCTAACTTAATCTTAGCTGTTAGAAAATCAGCTAAGATTAAGTGTTATGCGATATGATATTAATTAGCAGAAAAGCGATATGAGAATGCCAGAGAGAAGAACTTCTCAGGAAGTTTTGAGATACATCCGTGCCGAATAGCAAACTATCAAAGACCCGTGTAACAAATAACGGATTGCTTAATTCTAGAGTGATACGTATCTTAATTTTTAGTTGCTATATGCAGAACGATTGCGACATGACTTCAGTTTAAAATTATGAAATATTATCTTACACGTACACATTCTTATTATTTAGGAAATGTTTTAAATCAAAACGTAATCATCAAGAAAGCACACATCTCCTAACATAATTAATACATCTCTACAAATAATGATGAAATGTTCGAACGGCATAAATAATCATAGATCAATGACATCTAGTTTATTTCTTTTATAATGGATATAAATGTCAAGAAGGCCGAGGACATTTAAAATATAATTTGCATAACTGTATCTCAAGCCCAAGCATGACATATAAGTCAGTTACACTGGATGCACCGGGATTACCTAAGGCTGGTACATAATGTCTCCGATATTATATAGAATAGAGCTAGCGTAATAGGCTTGGAATACGTGAGCCTAGGTCAATCCATTTGTGGTTAAATGGAAAGTCTGCATTTTCCGGTATCATTTCTTTCCATTGAGACAGTTCATTAGATCACATACACTTTTTCAAGATACTCGTTTATTTCAAATTGATATCACATTTTTTATTTTCAAACTATTTAATGGAAACTTACTATATTTTTTTTTCAGATTGTATACGTATGTCTCAGAGGTTTTCGCTATAGTCTAACCTAGATAAGCAACATATAATTATCTTATTTTAAGTCGAATCCGAAATTGTCAAAATTTTATTTATAGTCCTTGATGTTAAAGCTTGATTGATAGTAAAAATCTTGAACTCCTCAAATCCAATAGGCGTTGATGACACTTGGATTTTACTTCTTAAAGCCCAAATAAACAATCTTTACCACCATAGTCCTACGTCGATTGATCTAATTTGTTATAATATTGCACTCATATCAGAGCTATCTGGCGAAAGTAATATTTTTCTAAATCGGCTCGGTACCTATAGAAAAAATATAAAAGATAAGACCAAAGATATAAAAGAAAAACGTTTGAGAAGTTTTTCTTTATTTGCACCTAATGAAGGAACAAAATCTAATGTTTATTGATATGGGTTGAAAAACCAGTAATTTAGCAAGAGTTATGAATGCTTGAGTTGACGGCTTTGTATTTTTTATTTCAGTAAAAATTCATATTCACATTCATAAATGACTTGAAACGAATAATTTTTTTTTTTTCATTACTAAATTTACTTGGCCTATTGTACCGGATGTGTATTTGTAATTTAAAATACATTATTATCTATTGATACTATTGTCAATATTTTTTTTTATTATGCAAAAAACTAAATCAAGAAATATATAATAACCAAGATATCTTGGCAAAGAGAAATAACATTTTTTTTTTAATTTATAAAACATTATATGGAGGGCTCCTATGGCTCATTGGAACTAACACCTGGATGTGTCTTATCATATATCATCTGATGTAGAATCACCAAAAAAAAAAGTGGATGAAGTCACTTTGGATGAAATAACAGACCCAATGACTGTGACTTTTGTTTATCAGTGAAATCCCGTAAATATTGTAAAACAATTTGAGCACAAATTATTATAATAATATATTATCATAGTGAAATAGCAGAAACTATTGTGAGAATTTAAACTTCCTTGAAATACAAAAATACAGAAAAAGGAGAACATTTGAGACCTTAAAACAAGTCAAAAAAATATTTAAGGAGCAAAGAAAAAAAAAATATATTTTATGTGGCCTTTGCTTTATCTGGTTTCATATAAAAGAATACATAATATATGCATGTGCAAGTCTATGAAAATATGTATATGATGAATAAAAATTACATATACTTGAAAAAGCTAAAAATTTTGAAACAATAAATAGTTTAATTTTTAAAAATCTATTACAGAAATATCCTATATTATTATTTTCTCAATTCAATGGGACGAAAAGTACCATAGTAATTACTCATGTAGATCGATAGTTAAGTTG